AGCAGACAAAACCAATTACTATAATGAAATGTGCAAAGACCTGGAGTTTGAGAACCAAAAGGGAAGGACATGCTCAGCATTTCTCAAGCTGAAAGAATTGAAGAAATAATTTAAGCCTCAGGTTGCAATATTGAGAGATTCTATGGGCAAAATATTGAATGATGCAGGAAACATCCAAAGAAGATGGCAGGAATCCACAGAATCACTGTATCGAGAAGAACTGGTTGATCTTCGTCCATTTCAGGTAGTGGCATATGATCTAGAACCCATGGTACTGAAGGAGGAAGTCAGAGCTGCAATGAAACATTGGTGAAGAACAAGGCTCTGGGAATTGATGGAATATCAATTGAGATATTTCAACAAAAGGGTGGAGGCACTCAGTTATGCCAAGAGATTTGGAAGACAGCTACCTGGCCAACTGACTGGAGGAGATCCATATTTGTACCCATTCCAAAGAATGGCAATCACACAGATTATGGAAATTACAGAACAATATCATTAATATTACACACAAGTAAGATCTTACTGAAGATAATTCAAAGATGTTTGCAGCAGTAACTTGACAGAGAACTTCCAGAGGTGCAAGCTGGATTCAGAAGAGGATGTGGAACAAGGGATATCAGAGCTGTTGTCAGATGGATCATGGCTCAAGGCAAAGAATACCAGAAAGATGTTTACTTGTGTTTTATTGACTATGCAAAGACATTTGATTGTGTGGATCATGACAAATCATTGATAAGATTGAGAAAAATGGGAATTGCTGAACACTTGATTGTACCCATGAGGAACCTGTACCTTGACCAGGAGGCTCTCATTTAAATGGAACAAGGGGACACTGCATGGTTTAAAATCAGCAAGGGGGTGTGTCAGGGTTGTATCCTCTCCCCATACTTATTCAATCTATATGCTGAGCAAATAATCAAAGAAGCTGAACTATATTAACAAAAACGTGGCATCAGGATTGGAGGAAGAATCATTAACAACCTGAGATATGCAGAGGATACAACTTTACTTGCTGAAAGTGAGGATGACTTGAGGCACTTACTGATGAAGTTTGAAGAATACAGTCTGCAGTATGGATTACAACTCAATATAAAGAAAACAAAAATCCTCACAACTGGACCAATGAGCAGCAGCACCATAAATAGAGAGAAGATTGAGGTTGTCAAAGAGTTCACATTGCTTGGTTCTTCAATCAATGCCAACGGAAGCAGCAGTCAGAACATTAGATGACGTATAGCATTCGGAAAGTCAACCAGGAAGGAACTGTTTCAAGTGCTGAGGAGCAAGGTTGTCTCCTTGATGACTAAGCTGTGCCTGACACAAGCCATGATATTTCCAATTGCCTTGTGTGCATGTAGAAAGCTGGGCAATGAATAAGGAAGACCAAAGAAGAATTGATGCTTTTGAGTTGTTGTGTTGGCAAAGAATGCTGAATGTACCATGGACTGCTGAAAGAACTAACAGATCTGTCCTGGAAGAAGTGCTCCCGAAATGCTCCTTGGAAGTGACAATGGCCAGACTTCGTCTCACCTATTTTGGTCGTGTT